AATAAAATGAACAAATATATAAATCAATAAATAAAGAAAAAATGAATAAAAAATAAGAAAATAGATAGATGAATAAGAAAACATACAAAATCATTTATAATGAAATTATTAGCTTTTTTATCCTCTCAAACATGGTCTTCCACCCTGTAGATAATTATTTAGAATAATATTAAAAATATGTCATATCAAAAAAATGAATAAATAAAAAATAGATATATAATTAGTAAAAAAAAACATAAAGAATGAATGAACGAACGAATTAATACATGCATAAATAAATAAAAAAACAAATCCATAAATCAATAAAGAATAAATAAATAAATAATCGAAAAATAAATGAATATATATATGAATGAGAAAAAATAAATTATCAAATCGATAATATATCTTTAGATCAATATCTGTCACATTTCGCTTTTATTAACAGACCGTACTTGTATATCAATTCAATCCATCGATAATAATTGATTATTGTTCATGCACTGGCCGCACGGCAGCGCCACTAACTAATTCTTTTACCAATACTCAAACGCATATCAATTGAAATGATTATTTCCTTACAATATATTTACCATGATATTGAAGGTTAATAAATCAATACTCAAGTGCACTTTGACCTAGATGGCATCTAGTTGCATTGTAAGTAACTTTTGTAGGAATTGGAGACCACGTGTTCATTAATGTTTTCATTGAATCACGTGCAGTCTCAATTTGGTAAGTAGTGTATATATAAATTTTATTATCGGTTAATAATTAATGATAAAACATATGTAATTATCATCATTCTTTTATTGTTTTATTCTTCTTTTTTAATTATTCATGTATCAATTTCTTCTTTTTATATTTATTTTTTATTTATTTATTTTTTTTATACATTTATATATTTATGTATTTATTTTTTTTTCGTTCATTAATTGATTTATTTATTTATTCATTGATTATTGATTAATATGTTTGTTATTTGTCTGTTATTGATTATTTTTGATGAAATTATTTTATAGATTTATTCATTAACTAATGAATTAATTAATTTTTTTTCATGAATTATTTATGTATCTATTTTTTATTTGTATATTTATTTTCTTCAATTTTCTTTTTTTTTTATTATCAGTATTTATTAATTTAATCAATTTATTTATTTGTATGTTCGTTTTTTATTTTATTTATTTATTTATCCATTTTTTACTTATTTATATATTTATTCATCAATTTATTTACATATCAACTTATTATTCTATACCGACATCGTGGCCTAAGTGGTAAGGTGCCAGCCTAGCGCACTATGGGTAGCGGGTTCGATTCCCGGCTGAGACAAGACCCATTTATAATATAGTCTTTTCTCTGACCACGATGAGCGGGAGGCCTCTCAGAGGGCAGTCAAGGGCGTAAGCTATCGTGCTGATGACTGAATAGTACAAAAAGTGCTATTGCCGCCACGATGCCCTTGGGGAACCAGGCGACACCCCATTGTAGTACAGCCTTGCTGATGCTGAGTCTGAAACCAGGACCCTTGAGGTAACCGGCAGAATCTCCGAGGGTAGGACGATTTCTTGTGGAACTGGGACGACCTCTTAGGTTGACACCAGGCCTATAGATCTTGCCTACCTAAGGCTGAGGAAACCGGGGGACCCATGGGGCTTAGCGGAATCTCCAAAGGCAGAAATAACGTTCTTTCGTACCACCATGATATATATATATTGGAAATCGACAGGGACTGTTTCGGGACTCAGAAGGGAACCAAGGCAAGGTTGCCTTTACTGTGCAAACAGACCCTGTACAAAGGCCCTGTGGCTAAGTGCAGGGGAAGGCGGGACATTCTAAGACATCTTCCAAAACTTATTATTTTTATAATTAAATTTTTTTAGTATTTATATATTTTATAATTAGTATTTATGGAATTATTCATAGATTTATTTATTAATTTAAATAATTATTTCTTATTATTGATTTATTCATTGATTTATTTATATATCAATTTATCATTCTTACATTTAAATTTTTTCAGAATTTATATATTTTATTTTTATTTTCATGGAATTATTTTATCGATTTATTCATTAATTTAATTATTTATTCATATTCAATTTAATTATTTATTTATATATTTTGAATTATTTATGTATCTATTTTTTTGTATATTTATTTCTCATTTATTAATTCATTGATTTCATTTATTCTCTTTGGAGTTATTTATAGATTTATATATTTATATAACGATCGATTTATATACTAGTTCTTTTATTTATTTATGTATGTATTTATTCTTTTTTTATGTTTTTTTCCAATTATTTATGTATCGTTTTTTTTTGTATATTTATTTTTTATTTATTAATTTATTGATTCAATTTATTTTTATGGATATATTCATAGATTTATTTATTTATGCATTTTTTTCAAATTTATTTATGTATGTTTTCTTTATTTGTATATTTATTTGATTTATGTACTTTTTTTATTTATTTATTTGTATATTTTTTTATTTCTTCATTGATTTATTTATATTCTATATGTTGGTGTATCTTTTTTTTTAATTTTTATCTTTTCTACATTTATTTGTTGACTTATGTATTTGTTATTCTATTTATTCATTCTTTTTTTATTGACTTATATTTCATTTAATTTTTTTTTTATTGGTTTATTTCATTTTTTTTTTTATAGATTTACTTACAGATGTATTTATCAATCCATTCATTTGTATGTTTGTTTTTTATTTTATTTATTGATATGTTTGGTGTTTTATCTATCTTTTTATATATTTGTCTGTTCATATATTTATGTATATATATATTTTTTATGTTTATTTTTCTTACCATTATAATTATTGCTATTTTTTTACATTTATAGGCAGAGGGAAGAATGGAGGGGCTCACCGAACTCCAAAAGAAAGAAGAGGTGGGAGAGAAAAGGAAGAAAGTGAGAGAAGAGATGAGAAAAGAGGAGGCGCTGCTCGGGGTAGAGTCGGAGAAAGATAGATAGGTGGAGGCGGAAGGAGAGGACGGTGAGGAGGTAGAGCTAGAGGCGGGGAAGAGGTGGAGGTCGAGGAAGAGGCGATACAGGAAGAGGAAGAGGATGGGAAGGCTACAGAGGGCGTCAAGGCCGTGGCGGCGGCGTCACACTCGTCCAGCATTTTTATGCATAATATTGTGAATAATAATAAATAATAATAATAACTGTGACATTTTTAATAATAATAATTATCATTATAACAACAAAACATGGTTTTTTTTTCATTCTTTCCACTGGAAAGTTGGTCGTGTGGACATCTCGGGTCGCACCCAGACCACTGCAGAGCATTGATATTAGGACTTGTATTTTCTTTATAATAAAACTGATAATAAGCTCAAGAAAAGTGTCTATTGTGTGTGTGCACATCTCCTGACCACATCCTACGGCGTAGCTCGATCGCTATCGATTTTTTAGCTGTTAATGAATGAACTCAATTAATAATTTTTGGTTTTCAAACTACAAATTGGTCCTTCGAGCCGGATGTGGTTAGTGAAGTGACAAGTGCTCGTAAAAAAGACATTTTCTTTGTTCTGGCGTTTGCGCGCTCACGCGAAGTATCGCTCTGTCGCTCGGGCTTATTAACTTCAGAAGCTCTCTCGCTCACACTCATTCGTCGTGAGTTTAGTTCAGTGTGGTGCTTAGAAGTAAAAAACTTCAGGGCTTCACATAAACACAGTGAACTTATTCACATTTTTTTTTGTGTGTCTTTGGTGCTAGTGAACAGAAAAGGGAATTTTTGTGCTGGTGCTCGAAGATTCTAAGCTCGTCATTAATAATGACCAACGTATCAGTGCCCGAGGCCGACGTCGAGCTTCACTTCATAGCTCAACTAGCTCTTAAAATGAAAGAAAGGAATTTCTTTCCAGAGCTCTTGATGTTTGTCGCTCAGGAGATGCAAACAAGCTCTCTCTCTCTCTCAGCTCGAATCCAAGCTCTCTGTTCTTGAGAAGACGTGGCAGTTGTTTAGCCAACTGAACAATGACCTTGCTACAAAATTCTCTCAGCTCTATCCTAGCTCCTCGTACAAGAAAAAGAAGGTTTATCATGTAACATTAGAGGTCTACGACGAAGCTCGGTCAATTCTGACCAACCTTATCAGCTCTCTTCGCTCAGTTCAACTATTAAGTTCTCCTGTAGCTCGTACATCTGGCTCACCTGGTGCTCATCTCTTTGAGAAAATCAAGATCAAACCCTCCAGTAGAAAATACCAGGATTGGAAGGAGTTCGCAGACTTGTTCCAGGCCATGGTTCGGCTTTTCCAGAATTTAAGGACCACCAATGACAACTACACCATCGCATGGAACTTGCTCACGTTACGCTACAAGAACAAAAGGCAGTTGATATCAACACAGCTCGACAAGCTCTTCGGCGACAGCTCAGTGGTAGAAACAACATCTAAGGGTCTCCACGACTTGATCAATGGGGTTCGAGAAGCTTGCGATTCGCTAAAAGCTCTAGATGCCGAAGTTGACAAGTGAGACATGCCACTTGTCTACCACTTAGTTTGTCGGCACGAACACCGCCTATCCATCGCTTAGCTCGCTCCAAAAGTTTCTGACTTTTAAAGCCATTTCTCTTGAGAGTATTGTGCTCACCTCAGAGAAACCATCAAAGCTCAAGTCACCGTCGAAGGCCAGCTTTGCTCAACTTAAGAAATCAACAGCTCGGTCATATGCTGCCACAGCTCAAGCTCAATTTACAGCTCCTGCATCTCAAGCTCCATTAAATCGAGCTTAACGTCGTGGCTTTAGTGCAAAGCCAGCAGCTCAGCACAGCTTGGCCAACAAGCTCAGACGCTGGATGGCAGGGTACAGAGGTCCAACAGATCCGGGCCACGTCTCTGATTTTTGTGGCAGCACAGATCACTTCATCGCCAGCTGTCCAGACTACAGGAAGCTCTCTCCACCCAACAGGCTCAAGCTCACAATGCAGTATCGGCTTTGCAGCAATTGCCTTGGCAGACACGATGTGTAAAGCGTTGTCGTCATTGTGGTATGAAGCATCATACCACAATACATCAAGGCGAGGCCACTCAAATGAGCTTGGCTCCAGCTCCTGCAGCTCCAACCCGCTCAAGCTCATCCGATTCAGCTCCAGCTCAACAACCTCCAACCACATGGGTTGATAAGCTCCAATTAAACTTGACAGTCATGCTCAGGAATTAATTTTTATTTCTTTTGTTGTTAGCTTAAAGTTTCTCTCCCTTGTTAGCTCAACAGCTCCGCTCACCGCTAAGCTCTCCACTAGCTCTTGATTCATGCTCCAGCTCAGCTCAACTCAACACGCAGCTCTCCACCAGCTCCTGATTTATGCTCTAGTTCAGCTCCTGCTCCAGAATAATCTCTAAGCTCGACCTTTGGTCTTCCGATAAGCTTTTCAGTAGCTCTATCTCGCTCTACTAGTTCCTGTGATCCTCCAGCTCAACGTGGAACAGGATCGCGATCTTTCTGAACTACTATCCAAGTTTTGGCTTTAAGAAAAGACAGCTCAAGCTCATTCTTCTAAGCTCACTCCAAATGAAGAACACTGTGAAGCTCATTTCATCAAAACTCACTTAAGGGATGCAACCGGAAGATATGTTGTGAGACTTCCAATAGTTCCATCACCACCAACTCTTGGAGAATCCAAAACCCTAGCTCTCAAATGTCTTCGATCGATGCTCAAGCGACTCTCAAATGACTCTAAGCTCAATCAGCTCTACACGCAATTCATGAACGAATATCAAGCTCTAGGACATATGAGGCGTGGTCCAGAAGTTCAATCAAGCTCAAGAGAAAGTCCAGGTATTGTATCTGGTGATCGCTCGTATGAGATGACCTTGGCACATGATACTTCGGTATCAGGAGAGTTAAGGGTCCCGGTAGAGGGGTCATCGGTGCAAGCCAATGGTCTGCCTCATTTTTTTTCGCCGCACCATGGAGTTCTACGTGAGCGGAGTCTTACTACAAAGTTGAGAGTCGTCTTCAATAGATCAGCTCAGACAAGCTCTAGTATCTCGCTCAATAATGTTCTTCATACTGGTGCCCAGCTCCAAGTCGACATCTTTGACGTCTTGTCATGGATTAGACGGCACAAAATTATCTTTAGCTCTGATATAACGACGATGTTTCGACAGATAAACGTTTATTCAGCAGATTGGGATCTTCAGAGGATTCTTTGGCTCGATGAACAGAACAATTTAGATCCATATCAGCTCACCACGGTTACCTATGGTACCGGGCCAGCTGTACGAGTTCTACTCCAACTAATAGAAGATGAAGGCATGAAATATCATCGTGCAATAGCTCCTATGACGGAAGGTCGCTATGTTAACGACGTTTTCGGTGGCTCAGATACTCTGCAAGAAGCTCAGCTCATAGCTCAAGATCTAATAAAGCTCTGCATGGCGGGGAGCTTCCCTCTTGCAAAGTGGTCAAGCAATGGCCCTGCTCTTCTACAAGCTCTAGCTATACAAAGTCTCTCAACTGCTCCTGTTCAAGCTCTAGATGATACAGGACTAAAAGTGCTTGGACTATCTTGGAGTCCTGCATCTGATCAATTCATTTTCTCACCGGAAAGCTCAACGCTCAAGAAACTAACGAAACGCTCAGTGCTCTCCGGAGTAGCTCTTTGATCCGCTCGGATTCTTAGCTTCAGTAATAGTTCGAGCAAAAATGCTTATTAAAGAGCTCTGGTTAAACAAATCAGGATGGGATGATGGTTTTCCTGCTCAGCTCTCTCAACGGTGGACGCACCTACGAGATGAGTTACCATATCTCGCTCATGTTTACATCCCTAGATGGCTCATCATGATCTCCAGCTCATACATAGAAATACATGGCTTCTCAGATGCATCGCAGTTAGTCATGGCTACATACATTTATATTAAAGTTCAAAACTCAATCCAACCGCTAAATGGCTTTACGTCCCTGGAAAATGAAATACAAACCAACTAACTGGCTTCAAGCTCTGGTGGAAAAGATCTGAGTGGCTTAAGTGCTCATTTGGCCAGCTTTACAGTTCAAACCTTTAGCTCTCGCTCACAAAGAAGAAAGATCAGGCGTCTTATTGCACGCAGCTAAAGCTCCATCTGAAGAAGATCATCCATTGTGGTCCCTTCTATCAAGATACTCATCGCTTTACAAGCTCTCACGCATCACTGCTCTTTGTCTACGCTTCATCGCCTTCCTCAGAGGAAAAACCACCAGCTCAGCTCATCCGGGTAAAGATCATACAACGACTTCACTTTCCATTTGAATTGAAAGCTCTGCGAGATGGGCTTCAATTGCTATCATCGCACTTTGTCTCTATGCTCGCAGCTTTCGCTAATCAAAAAAAGTATACTTCGAGTTGGTGGTCGCCTAACGAACTCTAAGCTCGAAGGAGATGAAATCCATCCGATTATACTCCTAGGAAAATCCTACTGTTCACAGCTTGTTATTGATCAAGCTCATAGACAAACGCTCCATGGAGAAACTCAAGTTACTCTCATTCATGTTCGAGAAAAATTTTAGATCCTAGGAGGAAGAGCTCCTATTCGCTCATTCATCCTGAGACGCGTGATCTGTGCTCGATATCGAGCTCGACGTGCGCAAAGCCCCTATCCTAGCTCTTGTTCCAGCGCACGGCGAATCCTAGCTCTTCTTCTCTAACCCAGCCAACGACAGTTGCTCTATCATTGAGCTAGGTCTACCGACACCGGCTACAACGTGGTTGCAGCCATGAACGCTCAAGCGACGCCTAAGTACACGTGCTCGATTATCGCTCGTTCCTATTTTGCAATTCTTAATCGTTTCAAGCTCGTGATAAATTTTATTCAGTTTCAATAAAGTTCAGTTAAGCTCGGAAACTGTTAAAAAATAATTGTTAACGTAATAAATAATTTATTTTTATAATAAAACTGATAATAAGCTCAAGAAAAGTGTCTATTGAGTGTGTGCACATCTCCTGACCACATCCTACGGCGTAGCTCGATCGCTATCGATCTTTTAGCTCTGAAAAAATGAACTCAATTAATAATTTTTGGTTTTCAAACTACAGAGACAATGACTACTTAGCATGACTTGGGACTATTTTATTGGATATTTCATCATTCTAAGCCATTCTCACAAAGAATTTTTCGATCAGATTATTGTTAGATATTAAAAAGAGTTGAATCCGTGATATTTGATTTCCAAATCAGCATTTTTGAATGATATACATTGTTAAACTAGTCTAGGATAGTAAAATATATAACAAATTGGTCCCGAGTTATTGCAAATAGTCATGGGTAACAATGATTCTCACGTAGAGTAAGGGCCAATAAGTACTTAGCATATCTTAGAACTATTTTCTTGCATATTCTATTATTCTAGGCCATTCTAACAAGGGATTCTGAAATCAGGTTGTTAAAAGTGATTACAAAAAGTTAGTTCTGTGATATTTTATCACTCGAATTGGCATTTTGAGATGATATAAATCAGTCTGCTGTACAAAACCATTGTTAAACTAGCCTAAGATAGTAAAATATATGACAAATTAGTTCCAAATTATTGCAAATAGTCATCAGTAACAAGTATTATTAAGTAGATCGAGGACTAATGACTAGTTAGCATAACTTGTAACTAATTAACTATGGGCGTTTTCCATTTAAAGAAAACCTTTCTGTGTTTGACACTGTGTCGACTAATTTTATAAATGGAACATCTACTTTTATTGTGTTTCGATAGAGGGCAGTTTATAAAAGTTACTAGGAGAAAAAAATAGACTTTCAATCTTTGTTGTATTTTCTATAGTTTAGTTTCCACCGGAGGCGAGTTGAAATAAAAGTTGAGTGTTGGTTATAAAAAATAATTTGGATTGGAATTATGAAAATAGTTATAAATATAGAAAATAGTATCGGAGTATTATCACCTTAAATTTCTCTACACCGAATATAAATTATTTATTTCAATTTTTTTATGTGAAAGATAATTATAAATGATTGAAAAAATAGTGTAAAGGGCTATATATGAAGTTTTGTGAAAAAAAACGCAGTGATAAAATTATAATAATTTTTTCATTCGTTTTAATTATTACAAATTTATTTAAAAAAAAGAAAGACGGGTGTATAACCCTAGAAAAACGTCTCACCTTTTGATTGAGACCTAAATCGTTAAAAAGTACTCATTTTTCACAGGGTAAGCTGTAGAGAACAATTTTTCCTTTTTTGGAGTCAAAATTCAAGTCCAGCCAAACCTTAAACTATAGATAAATTATTTCTTTTATTACAAAAAATGAGACTATGAAAATATTACGAATTTATCATTTCAGATGCTAAAACGTGTGGCTATATTGCATTTGGCTTCGACAATCAATGATGATAACAGCTCATCTTCTGAAAGTAGAAGTGTGGAGAGTAGTAATAGTGATTCTTCAATCGAAGGCTTGATATGGGAGGAGGAGAATGACGAGTATGATCGATTATATTTTCCTTTAATCATTCACTTAACATCTAAACGCCGAATTCAAAGGATCCAAGATTATTTAAACGTTGTCAATACATGGAATCATGACGAGTTCAGGAAAAATTGACGAGTATCTCGGCGAACTGCGTACAATTTAATACGTAAAACATTTTTTTACGTCTACTCTATCACATTATTTCAATAAAATGGATTGAATTTATTTATTTTGATTGTTAATTATTTTTCAGGTGATTTTAAGGGATCTCCATTTTATCCGCGTAATGTTTTAGGAAAGATACCAATATCAGCAGATATTAGTGTTATCATTTTTTTGTGGTTCATCGGCAATACTGAGCCGTTGAGAACATTTTCAGAACGCTTCGACGTTTCTATCTCTTCTGTCTTCAGGATTATACGAAGAGTTGCCGATTTTCTTCTTTACAAATCACCTGATATAATAAAATGGCCACAAAATGGTCAAATTCCAAACATCACAAATAAATTTCAATTAATAGCAGGGATGCCGAATGTAATAGGTGCAATCGATTGCACACATGTGAAAATAGTAACACCCAAAGTAAATAGTCGTGATTTTTATAATCGTAAAAAATACCATTCCATTAATTTACAAGGAGTAGTTGATCCTGAAATGAGATTTATCAACGTTTATTGTGGTGAACCTGGATCTCTACATGATGCTCGAGTCCTCAGAAGATCACCGTTATATCATGCAGCTAATAATAATCAGAATTTACTTTTTCCAATGAATACTCACATTATTGGTGATTCTGTTTATCCCATCTTTCCATGGCTTGTTAAACCATACAAAGATAATGGACTATTGATTCCAAATGAAAGGCACTTCAATCGATTGATATCAACGACAAGAGTTGTAGTTGAGAGAGCATTTGGATGTTTAAAAGGTCGATTTCGTCGAATAAAATTCTTCACCGAATATACAGATTTACCATTTGTTGTAAAAGTCGTTATGAGTGCTTGTGTTCTCCATAATTACTGTATTAATGAAAATGATACTCCAGTGGATACCGATGAAGATGATGATTCAGATTTTGAAGATCCATTGGATGAGAATATTGATGGTATTGATCACAGAGAACGATTACTCAAGCTTTTGTTAAATGAAACGTAACAGTAATTAATTATTCAGTGTTCCAGAAAATAGAATAGTTCCACTTTGATATTTTTTATATAATTGTATATACGTAAAAATTTTGTATGCTTAATAATTCATAATTAATAAATATTCATAAAAAGGAAAACAAAATTATTCAAAAAGTATTTAAAAAGTTTATTCAAAAAGTTTTTTTAGGTTCATTAGAAATTTTGTTCCAAACACCTTTTCAAAGCCATTCATAATAAATTACCTCAAAAATAATGTACTTTAAATGATCAGTGATGATCTAAAGATAGTTATCGACGGAAAAAACTTCATATTTTTTAAATATAGAATGATTAAATATTTATAAGTTCTCTTGAGAAGAACAATTCCCATTACTTTTTTACATTGATTTTTTCTTTTAACAGATTAATATGTTTAATTTTAATCATTATTGCCATGATAATCAATTCGGATGTATTAATCATTATTTAAAGGAAAAAAAATCAATTATTAATTATAAACTATGCAAAATGAAATTATAATGAAGAACTATATATTATAATAATGGTAATTAATGTAACATGTAAGTAATAAATATATGTAATATTAATCGCAACAATAATTTACATTTATTCATCGCAATATTCTTCGAATACTTGGAAAATGACGATGAAGTCAAATTCGTTGTTGAGAACTCAAAAAAGGTTTTTTTTTTTTCATAAAAATAGAATACGTTATCTCTGTATGAAAAATTCTAGTCAGAATCTGACTCTGAAGTATTGTTGTTCGGTTGATTTTCTTTATTATTGAGTAGTTTTGTTAGCAAATTGCACTTACTTTTCTCTATTTCAATTATTGCTTTTTGGCTTTGCTCTTTTAACTCTAACTTCTTATATTCGATCATCTTTTTTGCCTTCAGTTCCTTTTCGCGAATTAATAACTGTCGCTCTTTCAAATGATTCGATTTTTTTATACTACTGAGTAGTTCTTCATCACGTTCCATTCTTCTTTTCTGTTCGTGATTCAAAAAATCCAACACACGATCTATTTCTGTGGTTTTCTTCAGTTTTTTCGGATTTCTGATTACTATTTCTGAAGATGGATCATATTTTTTCACACAATCATTTTTATGTTTTTTTTTAGAATTTTTTCATGAAGTTTTATTACTCACTGGTGATATACTTTCTTTCATTTTCAATGTTGTACTAGCACTTGATGATGGATTACTCATACTAGATGATGATCTACTGCATGTTGATGAAACACCTGGATTTGTTGGCATAGTTGAACTAGTTGATAGTTCACTTGGACTTGGTAAGAAGAAGGATCATGTAAACGAAGAATTGACTCTTGTGCTGTACCCAAAAATAGATTCCATTTCATCGAAGTATTCAAACCTCTTCCTGATTGATTATTATAGTCAATACACTCTTTATATTTTGCATATAATGCATTAAATTTCCAGCGAACTTGCTCATGAGATACATTGAATTCCATTTCATTCATTTCTTTAGAAATTGCAGACCATAGTTTCTCCTTTTTCTTTGGATTTTTAATTAAATGAGCATTACTTTCATATAAACACATAAGAGTTAAAACGGCTGGTTTCGTCCATTCTGCTCTTGTTTTCTTATTATTATCTTTTGTTGAATCGTTCAGGCCATTGTTTGACTCGTTATTATGTAGCCATTCTTCGTCTAAATATTCTTCTTCAATAGAAGCGATTTCTTTACCTACAATAAAAATTTTAATCAATTTCAAATAAAATATAGAATTTTTAATCACTCGCATTAAATAAACCGATGTTTATTTACATACAAACATAACCTCTTTTTAAAAAAAATAAGAATTTCGAGATCATACATACATTGACATTTACATAGCATTGCATTGTGTAAATAATAAAAAATACTACCTTAATTTCATAAAGAAAAGCTTTTATATCTGATAATTTTCTCAATTTACCTGTATTATTCATTATTTTTTTTTAAAAGTCAATCATTAATTTGCTGGTCGTTGTGAAAAAGTAGTGTTGCCAATGAAAGTATTAAAGTTACCAAGCTCTAGTTGGCATTAGGTTTTTGCTATAGTATGGTCTACACTGTGTTGCACTGTGTCGACTTTTTTTTCTGAATGGAAAACGCTCTATGTAATTCATCATTCTGAGCCATTCTTACAAGGGATTCTGTCATCTGGTCAATGGAAGTAATTGGAAAAGTGAGTTCTGTAATATTTCGTCTTCAAATTGGCATTTTCAAATGATTTACAGCAATCGTACGTACGAATTTACTGTTGAGCTCGTCTGAGATGATAAAATATATGAAAAATTGGCCCCAAGTTATTGCAAATAGTCATGAGTAAAACTTATTATCAGTAGATTAAAGACCAATGACTACTCATCATAACTTCGGACTATTTTATTGGATATTTCATCATTCGAGGACATTTTCACGAGGAATTTTTACATCAGATTTTTATTGGATATTAAACAAGTTACTTCTGTGATATTCTATTTCCAAATGAGCCTTCTTGAATGTATACATTGTTAAGCTAGTGCACGATAGTAGAATATACGACTAATAAGTCCCAAGTTATTGCAAATAGTCATTGGGAACACTTATTCTCATGAAGATTAAGGGCCAATGAGTACTTAGCATATCTTAGAACTATTTTCTAGCATTATTCTAGGCCATTCTAACAAGGGATTCTGAGATCAGGTTGTTGAAAGTGATTAGAAAAAGTTAGTTCTGTAATATTTTATCACTTAAATTAGCATTTTTAAATGATATTCATTAATCTGATGTACAGATCTATTGTTTGCTGTACAGGATGGTAGAATGTATGACAAATCAGTCTCAAATTATTGCAAATAGTCATCAGTAACAAGTATTATTGAGTAGACCGAGGACTAATGACTAGTTAGCATAACTTGTGACTGATTACCGATGTAATTTACTATTCCGAGCCATTCTTACAAAGGATCCTGTCATCGGGTCAATGGAAGTAATTGAAAAAAGTTAGTTCTGTGATATTTTATCACTCAAATTGGCATTTTGAGATGATATGAATCAGTCTAATGTTCAAATGCAATGTTAAGCTGGTCTGAGATGATAAAATATAGGACCAATTAGACCCAAGTGATTGCAGAAAGTTATTGTTAACACGTATTATTAGGTATATTAAGGACTAATGACTAGTTTGCAAAACTTGTGTACTATGTAATTTATTATTCTGAGCCATTTTTACAATGGATTCTGACATCAGGTTTTTGTATTTTATTAGAAAAAGATAGTTCTGTGATATTTTATCACTCAAATTGGCATTTTGAGATAATATAAATCAGTCTGATGTACGAATCCATTGTTGAGCTGGTCTGAGATGATGAAATACATGACGAATTGGTCCCAAGTTATTCCAAATAGATATTAGTAACTGTTGAGAATTGATTAATTGTTAGTTTGAATTTGCCAGCTGACAGGAACTTCAGCGGCCATCTTGGGACTGGGTCGATAACCAATCAATACCAAATAATCAAATATCAGTGCTCTGCAGTGGCCTGGGTGCGACCCGAAAGGTCCACACGACCAACTTCCCAGTGGAAAAAATGAAAAAACAATTCGAATATAACCTGTTTCCATTTTTGATAACAAATGGAATTGTTATAAACGAAATGAGTCTGTTTTTATTCATTGGACACAGTTCGTTACTTTATTTCAATAAAAGAAAAAATCATGCGTTAAAAGTACACATATATATAGAATGGATCCCTATTTTTATTGTTTATAACAACTTAAAACTTATTATTTAAATATTACTATTTTCAGTAATCACTTGTTAGTAACAATGTTCAATTGTTATAAACACAATTTCATATTATTGACTATTATAGCGTCTTTAATGCTGTTTTCTCAATCTTTTTTTTTGATGAAATATTATCACCATATTTTCATACAAGTATTCTAATTATTCAATATTCATATTTTTTTTATGATTTCATAATTTTGTCTAAAAAATGGTACAATTTATAAATTAAGAAATTCAGATTATTTTCCATTTTTGCTAGTTTTTTGGTTCTGCAAAAAAAATGGCTCGACCGATTTTGCTGAAAATCTAAACAGTTCTAAGTTACGTAATTACGCGTCGAATGCAGTTGGTCCCACGTCGATATCATTTTTTGTTCTGTTTGAGATAATCGAGGCGAAAAATAATTCCGAACGCACGTACGCACATACGAACATACGCACATACGCACGAAGGTACATACGTACATACACACACAGACGTCCACGTAAAAACTATCGTATCCAACTCTGGGGACCTTAAAACGTGGAGATATGTCAAAATTAGCGATTCGCAAAACCGGACCCATTACTATAACTTCCCACTAGGAAGTTAAAAATTTCGTTCTGTGATATTTTACATCTAAATTCGGATTTTTGAATAATATACTTTGTTAAGCTAGACCAGGATAGTAAAATATATAACAAATTAGACTTAAGATATCGCAGAAAGTTATTAGTAACATTTAATATTGAGTAGATCATTGACTAATGACTATTACAATAACTTGGCACTATTTTATTTCATATTTCATAATTTGAAAACATTTTGACGTGGAGATTTGACATCAGTTTTTTGATTGAAATACTTGTATGGATATATGATGACAATATTTCACCGAAAAAATAAAATTTTAAAATAATATCACCAATGAAAGAATTTTAAACTCGTGTCAGGATTGAGAAAACAGCATTAAAGACGCTATAATAGTCAATAATAATTGTCAATAATATGGAATTGTGTTACTAACAAGTGATTATTGATCATAGTAATATTTAAATAGTAAGTTTTAAATTGTTATAAACAATAAAAATAGGGACCCTTTCTATGTATATGAGTACTTTTAACGCCTAATTTCTTCGTTTACTAAAAAAATGTCACCAACCGTATGCCATAAATAAAAACATACTTTTTTTGCGTATAACAATGAAATTCGTTGTAAATAATGAAAAAAAGGATCTATGAGGTAC